ATACAACCAAACACTTCATGGGATCTGGTTCCTTGGTTTGGAAGTTTTAGGGCCATGATTTCATGGGACAGCTCAGTTAATTGGCCTAATAATGTGTTTAGTGCTTCTTTTCTACCTCATAGTTAGTTCTTTGCATAGTACCTGGGGTCTTAAAAGCTTGCAAGTGGCCATTCAAGGCACAACAGTTGGTCTCTATTTGCCTGGAACAAGAGAGGAAGGAGAGTCAGGAAGAGGAGGAGGATATGGAGAATGTGGCTAAGTGCTTCCACGATCACCTGCCTTCTTTGCCATGAGACCAGAATAATTGGATGGTGCCCAGCTACCATTATTGAACATTTTGATCAAAGATTCTATTGAAGAATCCTGATCAAAAAAGGGAAAATGCAGGATGGAATTGCAAATGTTCATGGAATTCAGACTTACTGGGGCCATAAAGGGTGGATGAACTCCTTAAACTATTGCCCTGAGACAATCAATCAACCTTAAACCAAAAACATGCCCTGAATCTTCTTAAAACCAAACAATAGTGTCACTTAACTAGTTAGGAGAAAAAAAAAGTCTACCTTGAGCACTATGCTCTTTTAACCCACTGATACTGAGTTGATTCTGACTCATAGTGTGTGTTAGACTGGGTTCTCTACAGAAACAAAACCAGTAAAGCTTATATATAGGGAGAAAGAGAAATTTATCTTAGGAAAATGGCTCACACACTTATAGAAGCTGGCAAGTCCAAAGTTCTTGGATCAAACGTCAAGCTGGAGACTTTTCCCAACTCACATGGCTACAGGGGTTGAGGAGCTCAAGGTTGGCAAGCAGTATATGGGCTGCTGACTCCAAGAATGATGAATCCAAGATCTCCATGCCAAATGGTAGATTGTTCACTCACGGACAGTTGTAGGAAGCAAAAGAGAATCCCGATGCACAGAAGAGTGTCTCTTTTCCCAGGATGTCCATAAACGTGCTGGAAGCAGGCCCCACTGCTAAGGAAACTCCATTTCAACAGATTGGCTGCCCAAAATATATACATCTGATCCCATCATGGGAACAACCCACATCACAATTGCTTAAACCACACAGAATTGTGGTCCAGCCAAGTTGACACACAACTCCAACTATCATAGTCCACCCCTTATCAATTTTGAAGTTGTACACATCTTCTTTACCATGTATAATCTCTAAATAAGGACAATTTTGAAATTATAATTGCACCTACCATGATATGCTAACACACATATAACCGAAATGCATTAACCAGCTTTGCCTCTTGCTCCCGGCCCACTGAAGCTAGAGGCATCTTTTCACTCAGACAGCTACTGGCTGCTGAGGCTAACAAGCCCAAGGTCGACAAATAAAATGGCACAGTCCCGATGTTACCAAACCACATGGCAGGCCATTAATTTAAGTCCATTGTAAGTCCCAAGGTTGGCAGAGCATGGCAGGCTACTGAACAACAACATGGCTACGTGCAGGGTCCA